GGCCACACCATTGGCCAGATCCCTGGCCACTACAGGAGGGAAGAAAAGGGTAGGAAAGCTGAGTGGCAAAGGGTGAGAAACATGATGAGCAAATGGTGAGAAATGTGAGTGAAGAGAGGAGAAGAAGGTGAGGGGAGAAAAGGGCAGAAAAGATGATGGGAAAATTCTAAGCAACATGAGTGCAAAATGGTGAGAAACAAGGGGAGAGAAGGGAGAGGATGTGAGGGGAAGAGCATGAGAAGTGTTATTTGTAAAAAGAGTAAAACAGGCAGGAAATGTGAGGGGAACATTGTGGAAACCTGAGGGGGGAAAAAAAAAAGAGAAACCTGAGGGTGGAAAAAGTCAGAAAATGTGAGTGAAAAAAGGACACAAATATGAGGTCAAAAGTTTAAGGACCATGAAGAGAAAAGAATGATAAATGTGAAGAAAAAAGTGTGAGAAACATGAGAGGAAAAGAGTGAGAAGCAGGAGGAGAAAAGTGAGAAACATGAGGAGAAATTTTGAGAAATCAACCTGGGATAAGGAAACAAGAGGGGTGAAAAGGGTGGGAAAGGTGAGAAGAAAAGTGCAAGGAAGATGAGGTGAAAAGGCTGGGAAACAAGAGTGAGAAATGGTCAAGAGTGTTGTGACAATCATGATTGGGAAGGGAGAAAGGAGAGGAAATGTGAAGGTAGAAAAAGGAGAAAAGGCACTATTGACAAAGGAGCTGCAATAATTCCTAACCCATTCCCCCATATCTCTTCCCATTTATTGCACAAGCCCAGAGCTGCTCTGTGTGTCCGTCTCTACCTCTGTCTTTATTCCCATTTGGAAGCAATCAGACTGGCAGGATCTGCCCACCAGCAGCAGCAGCAGCTGCTCCAAGCTGGGAACATGAGTGGCAGTGCTGATTTCCAGAGGCTTTTTCCCCCAGGTGAAGCCAAGGCAGGAGCAGGTTGAAAAGTGCTGGTGCTGCGGCTGCTGCTGCTGCTCAGTGCCAGAGAGCTCTGGCTGGGCAGGGCACGGTGCCCACTGTGCTGTGGGCTCTTTCTCCTGCCAGAGCTGGACACACCTGGGAACAAGTGATGATGACCTGTGAGGAAAGCGATGGATTTTGTGGAGGCTGCATTGCTCTGCACACACTTGGGCCGCATGCAGCACAGAGCTTTGGTCCCCTCAAAAGGTAAACCAGAGGGAAACAGCTGGAAAAGGTTTTGTTTTGATCTTTCTTACCTGCTCAAGAGAAATGGCCAAAATTAAAGTGACCAAGCAGGGCTCAATCCCCATGGCCAGCTCAGGGTTCAAAAGGAGGTATTACTCTATTTCAGTGCAGGGTGTGTGGAGAATCCCTTCCCTAAATTGTGCACATGTAGCAATCTCACCTACTTGTTTGTACCCATATAACTAAGACATAGTCAATATTTTGCTGAAATTCACAGGCTAAACATTTTCCCCGGATTATTTGACATATTTAAATCCCATCTCAGAATATACTGAAATGAAAATAGGGTTGTCCTGAGGCTCTCTGGTGGTCATTGTCATAGCTTCAGAAGGAGACCTATGCAGAAAAGAAGCCAAGACACAATGGGGGTTGCAAAACAAATTTATTCCATTAGTTGCAGAAGCAAATAATACATACCAATCCCTGGATTCCCTGAAACCTACTGAACAGGAGAAGGAGATGAAGCATAGTGCTCGGCGGGAGGGGCAGGTAGGCAGTGCAATCTCAGGACATCCCCTGCATCAAAACAGTCTGAATATCGTCCTTCTCACCCCTCCAAGCCAGAAGCAGGCCTTATATCTCCTGCTCAGGAGTGCAATTTTCCCAGTGACAGCATCAGCTCCCACATGGCCGGCACGTGAGATGAGACCACGATGGCTCAGAATACCGACTCCATGCCAACAATGCCTCTATTATGCACTGTTCCTCTTTCAAAAGTTAACTGCCCACCCATTGACCAATACATTGTTTCTCTTGCAAGGGTCAAGTTCCCACCCCTTAAACGATACAGTTTTCTTCATTGTCTTGTTGACCTGCTCAAACATGGATCAAATATGGCAGGGCCTCTGTCAGGATCCTCTAACACAAGCGGGAGTTGTGAGAGGTTTGTATGATCTCAGAGTGCAAAAAGAACACCAAGGGATTTCAGGTTAAATCGTAAAAGCAACAATGCACCTTTATTTTAGTGCCAACAACATGGGTTATGCAATAGATGAGAGGCAGAGAAAAAGAGAGAGAGAGAGAGAGAGAGAGTGTGTGAAGAGAGGGACAAAGAAGCAAAGTAAAGAGAGAAAAAAGGAGGGGGTTATAGCTACCAATGGACGAGATGGAGTTGCTGGTGTCTTCTGTGGGGACATCTCTCTCTCTAAAAGTAATTTAGAAAAGTCACTTTTATAGTCTGTTTCAAAGTGAGGGGCAGTTGGTCAAAAGGTGGGGAGATTTCTAGGCTATTGTGGTGTGACCCGTTGCTCTGAGAAGCAGGTGTAAGGCACAGAGCAGGCCGCTCTTCACAAGTCCCTGCTCACCACCAGGAATTAAGGCAGTGTAGCATGGCAGAAGAGCAAACACACCTGCAAACAATCACTCTTGTGGTGTGACCTGTTGCTCTGGAAAGCTGGTGTCAGGTCAAGCACACCTCCAAACAATCACTTAGCAAACATCCACCTCAACCAGGCCAGAAGCCCTGCACAGAGTCCCTTGTGGTCTTCAGGGTCTCGGTCTCTGTTCTTGCCATGGTTGTGAGGCAGATGAGGGAAACTTCGCACCGTCTCTTACAGCCCGCTCACACCTCCCCGTCACTGACAGCTCTGCACCAGAGGAGAATTTGCAGAGCACCATCACTGATCTTTCTGCTTTCTCACTTGAGCAAGACTCTCATCCAGACAAAGTGATTGCACTTAGGGATTGTAGTGATTTAGATTTGTTAGTTTCAGCTTCTTGGTGAACACCAAGAATAATAAATTAATTCTTTTATGATAATAATTCTATTTTATAATTCCTAAGTAATGTGGTGGGTTTAGCACTGGCTAAAATCACCAGTGCACTTACTCATTTGTTTTTGCTGGGAGATATGGATTAGGAGAAGGGCAAAACAGGCTCAAATCTTAAACGGTATAAAGAAACTTTATTAACAAGACTACAAAAGGAGAAGCATCAGAATAATACTTCCAGGACACCTTTCCTCCCCCTGCCTTACTTCTTTCCTTTCCCAACTGACAGCATAGACACAAAACGTGGGATGTTAAATCAGTACCAACTAGACAATAGTCTTCCGTCAGTTCTTGTAGGGAGAGAAGATTTCTCTTGCCATGCCACCAAGATTTCTCTACAAGAAACAGTTCTCTCGTGGATTTTCATTTCTGCAAATAGTATCTGCCCAGGCTTAGTTCTGCAATTGTGAAATCCTTCCCATTTTTACAGCCCTACTACAAGTGTCTTGATGGGCTATTTACCCATGGGGTATTATTTTAAGGATAAGTTGTTCAAAGGCAAATGTTCCCTTCATCTGTCTTTGTCATCATCTCTGGGAACAGAGCTTTTCTTCTTCTCTCCCCGGGGGAAAAAGATTTTCCTCACTCTCATCTCTCTCTCTGTTCAGGCTTCTCATGGGATCACAGCTACTCCAACATCTGCTTGGCTTCTTATCAATGGATGCCTCTGTTCACATGCACAGTTTGAATGCTTCATTCCCCCATTCTCTCTCAGGAATAGTAGGAGATATTTCCAGGTATCATTGTCTATCTCCATGGCCCTACCAAAAGAATTTTTCAGCCCAACACTAAGACATCTCCTCATTCTTTGCCTCTTACTTTACTAACTTCAGTGTCTTCATGCTGTCGTCTACGTGTCCCCACTTTGTCCTTTTCTCTTGAGAGGAGAATGGTGGTCTGCAGGTCTCATCTGTGCACTGATAGGGTTAAATGAAAGGGTTAAATCTTGCCAGCTCTGCAGATGGTTGTGGGCAGTGGCTGCAGCAATTATGATGATGATTTCAGGCTGCCCTGGGCCCCTCTCTCTGCCCGGCAGCTGCTGGGAGGGGAGGCTCGGCCTGGAGCCGTCGGTGTGTGCTGGGGAGAGGGTTTAGTGTCAGCGAGATGTCAGCAGCTGTGGCCCAGCCTTGCCTGGGGCCGGGATTCTGCAGCCTCCATCCCCCGTCCAGGAGCCACTGGGGTCCGGCCCAGCCTCCCCCAAGAGCACAGGCCGTGGGCGAGCAGGGCCGGCCTCACCAGAGCTCCGTCACCTTCTGGGTCCAGAAGCCAAGAGGGAGATTTCCCAAGCTTTATTTTTTAAAATGTAGATCTCACAGAGGCAGACCTAATTTCTAAATGGTTCAAAATGTTGTCACTTCTCAGCACTAGCCAGCTATTGACCTTTCCCAGGCACAGCAGGAACTCCCAGCAGCTTCTCTCAGAGAAATCACTTCCATGGGTGCGTTCTTTCTTCTTCTCCACATATCAATCAATGTGAAACCACCACAGGGATACAAATCCAAATTGCAGGAACCCAAATGCTCTGGAGTCACAGCTGAAGGCCTGCATCTGCACAGGATGTTTCGGCTGCCCCACCCCTCCACTGCTTGTACCTGCAAATGCCATTGCCCTTTCTGCCTCAATTAGACATACCACACAGCTGGGCAACACCCAGCCAGTGAGCCAAATTCCAAAGGCAGTGCAGTTTGGAGAGGATGACTGAAGAAGAGCCTTCTCCACTTTCAAAGCACACCAAAGAAGCCATGAATATCACTTTGCACCTTGAAGAGACAACTGATAAGTCAGAAGGAAATGCTGAGCTTATTCAGAGGGTAAGAAAGAAAGGAATCTTCCACACGAGTTAAAATTTTAGAAATTTTATTGATTTACAGTCCTACTCTATAACCCTACTCTACAATCCTAGTCCACAATCCTACTCTATAACCCTACTCTACAATCCTAGTCCACAATCCTACTCTATAACCCTACTCTACAATCCTAGTCTACAATCTGACTCTATGTGGGTGTTGGAGTAAATGGTCCTGATGGCATTATCCGAGTGTTTTCTCCTCCTTCCTCAACTTCTCTGAAATGATCAGTGGCACCAGGCTGGACACAGGCTCGGCTAATGTTACAAATGGATGCTGCCCAAAAGGGAAAAAAAGAAATCAACAAAACTCAATAAACCATGACTTTGCAAGCTCAGTGCTTCACAGCCTCAATCAGGATTCCTCTGGTTCCTAGACAGACCCAGAAAGGGGAACAACAGGGGCATCTGCACCTCCATCTTCATGGGCAGGACCTTGCCATCACAGGCAAACCTGGCCCAGAATCCCACTCATCCATTGATTCTTCTTTCTTCATTTTGATGGGACTTTTGCCCTACCAGGGCTCTAGAAATGGTGCTTTCTCTGCCAGGCTGAGAGAGCTGGAGTTTTTCAGCCTGGAGAAGAACAGACCCCAGGGGGCCTTTCTAGCCACTTTCCAAAACTTCGGAGTGGCTTCTGAGGGTGTGCAGGACATCTTTCTGAATAGGTCCAGTGACAATAGGACATGGGCTAATATGTTTAAAGAAAAAGGGGATGGAATCAGAAGAAGTCTAAGGAAGAACTTGTTTCCTTGGAATACAGTACAACACTAGCACAGGTTGTCCTAAGAGCTTGCAGGTGCTCTGTCCCTGGAACCATTCCAGGCAGGTGAGAGAGGGCTCCGGACATCCTGATCCCTTTAAAGATGTCCCTGCTCATTGCAGGGCACTTGGACCACATGAGCTTTACAGGCCCTTGCCAGGCCTTCCTAGTCTAGAATTCCTCACCATTTCCATTTGAACAGAAAGAAGATTGGAGGTGAGGAGGAGGGGGGCACATCTGATGTCTTGGATTTCAGTGGAGAAGGAGCCCATCCCTCAGACACTGTTTCACCTGCAGCCCCTTGGCATTTTACCTGCAGGAGCTCCTCAGCAGACCAGCGCTGTGCCTCGTCTGTCTGCAGGCAGCAGCTCAGGAAGTCACGCAGCAAAAACGAGAATAGGTTGGTCTGGCACAGCTTTGGTGTCCCTCTTATGTCTATCAGGAGTTGAGGCTGGAGAAAAAAGAAACACAAGGCTCCACCTGCTTCTTCCCCATCTACAACTGCTCTCCCAGGGCCCATTCTTCCAGCTCCACTCTGCAGTGGCAGTTTCTGCCCTGGCAGAGAGGCAGAGATGACTTTCCTATACCAACAAAATATTTAAACACCAAGGCAGCCCCAGCTTTTCCAACATCCAGCAGATCTTGCCTTGGCAGCAGATTTCACTGACTAGTTCTCTGGTTAATGAGAACTCCATCACCAAATGCAGCTTTTGCTTCTCTGAGGATTCACACCAGCTTGTGTGAATAGGTTGACAGGCCATTTGGAAGGGGGAATTTGCTCTAGCTATACTATTTCCAAGGTTTATTACACGAAAGGATCACTGCCATGCTTGTTTTTCCCTTAAGCACAGCTTCCATGAAACAAAAATCATCCAATTTTTTGTTCTGTTCTTGAAAGAAATGCAGATGCAGAATCCATCTAAGACAGACAGAAATGACAGTGGGGAGAGGCCTAGGAGTCTGCATGAAAACACCCACCAGTGCTGGTGGCAATGAAGTAGATGCTGACCAAAGAGCCTTTGATCCTCTTCAAGCCAGAGGAAAATTTCCTTCACTTTTCCCACAACAGCAGAGGTCAAAAAGGGAGTTTTATCCTGTCCCTCTGCAGCTGAGCTCAGCTACTGGGCATGGTGGGGAGTCCTCACTGTCACTAGCGCTGTTCCAGCCAGGGATGGCCCTGCTCCTGTGCTAAAGGAACAGCACCGGCGTCAACCGCACCCCTTGGATCCCAGCCCCAGGCGCCTGACTGCAAGCTCATCCACCTGTTCAAGTACCAAGAAACAGCCGGGGCTTTGGCACACAATTCTAACTGCAGCTGGAGAAAAACACATCCTGAACTTTTCCAGGCCACCCTGACACATGACAGAACAATGTACAGATGACTTGAAAGCCTAAAAGTTTGGAGGTCCCACAGGATTTGGAAAAGATGCTAGAATTTGGACCAAAATAGATGTGCTTTGGTTAATAAAGGAAAAAGAAAGCAGAACTACTTTGTGTTTTGAATTTTCTGTTTACTTTTCCTTTTTTTTCTATTATTTTCCATTCCATTTTCTTTTCCTGAATTTATTTTTATTTTTATTTTTCATTTTTCATTTTTTTCCTTTCCTTTTCTTTTTCATTTGATGTTTTTTCCTTTTCCTTTTCCTTTTCATCCTTCCCTTCCCCTTCCTCTTCCTCTTCATCTTCTTCCTCCTTTTCATTTTTCTCCCCCTATACCTTTTTATGTTTTTCTTGTCCCTTTTCTCTTCCTTTTTCTTTTCCTTTTCCATTTTCATTTTTTTTCTTTTCGTTTTTTCTTTTTCAAGAAAATTGAAACTGGGAAGGTCCCAACTCCATCTCAAAGGATATTTAGCACACTGCTGAACTCTCCATTGAAAAATTCTTCTCCTTCACAGACAAGCGCCAAGAGCTTTCAAAAAGCAAAGGAGAAATATCATGGAGGCCAGCAGGGCTGAAGGCCAAAATGGCACGTTTCTGAACTGGTTGCCTGCCACTTCCCTTCTGATGCAACCAAACCTACAGCAGATGCTGATGTGCTGCAGGGACATTTCTAGAAGGGGACCTTGGTGGAAGTAGTGCCAGCAGGTGGCAATGGCATTTTGTCCAGTGGCACACAGAACATGGGACAGGTGAGAAAGTCAGCAGGATCAGTGAGTATTGGCACCTTACCAAGACAGGAGTTTCATTCCAGTAAGGAACTTCTCGTTCTGCCATTTCGATGCCCACGATTCCAAAAGACCATATGTCCATTTTGGGGCCGTACGGTTGACCTGTCACCACTTCAGGCGCCATCCACCCAGAAGTGCCGGCCACAGAGCTCTGTCTACTCTGCTCAGGGGTGAGCTGAGCAGAGAGGCCAAAGTCAGCTGTGGAGAAAACAACACACCATGAAAGGCAGCTCCAGTTAGGAAACCAAGCAAAAGAATTGCCCACTCCCAGTCTCAGAATGCACTTTGTCATCTGCTGGAAATCCATCCCTGCTCTATATCCTCAGGGCTTTAGCCAAGGAAATATGGCATTGGCGACTTCAAAAAATCCCCACAGTTTTTACACTTCCTCCAGCAATGGCCTTTCTTTTTCTGAAGCTTTAGATTGTAGCTCCCTCCCTTTGGATGGGACACACCAATGCCACTCTTGACTGCTTGTGGTACCTTGTCATACCTCTGTGCACATCACAACTGTGCCTTCAGCTCACAGCAGGGCCCCTGCACTGCCAGCAGCACCATTTTTGGGGAGCTGGCAGTCACTGAAAGCAGCCCCACACCCCACATCCCTGGAAGGCTGAACCTGACCAAGAATACACTGACCCAGCTTGACAGAGCCGTCCGTTCTGAGAAGGATGTTGCAGCTCTTCACATCGCGATGGATCACATGGTTGGAATGAAGAAAATCCAGTCCTTGCAGGCACTGAGAGAGAAAACAGAAACAGGAGGGCAAAAATTATGGATGTGATTTCATTACACAAGCAAGGAAACAGAAACATCTGTAAAAATTCCCTTTCCAGGGGAATGGGAAGTAATGGCAGAACACAGTGCCACTGAGAGGAAGAGCCTGCTGCTGCAACAGGAGCAGAGCAGGACCTTTATCAGGAAAGGCATGTCAGCTTTTGAAACAGCAGCAGCAACTGCTGTTGTAGACTGTCCCCTGCAAACCAGGCAGAGTGACTGCAGCTGCAGTGGGTGTGCTCAGAAGCAAACAGCATTTGGGCTGCACTACTATCCTTTTCAGCTGAGATCTAAAAGAAATGAGTCTCTTTTTCTTCTCTGCTGTTCATTTCAAATTCTGCCAACCAGCACCTTTGCTTTTACAGACAAGGAATGCAGTGCAGATAAGCACAAGGTAAACGTTTAGAGAGGCAAGGTGGACAACAGCAAATCCAAATAGAAGTAACAGAACTAGAATACAACAGCAGGAGATAAGAGTACAAGAAGTGAGTAGAGTGAGTGCAGGGACACTGGCAGGCAGTTCACTTGAAAGGCTCTTGCTTGCCTATAGCATACCAGCAAGACAGAAACCAAGCTTGGCACATGAAATCACTCCCATTCCGAGCCCCTGTTTCCCAGACAATCTTGCTCAAGCCCTTGGAAGCACAGGTGGGATCCCTGACCTCACGACTGACAACTGCAATCTCTCCTTCCGACATTTGAGTCTCAATGATGATATCTCTCAGAGTGCCTCCGTCCATGTACTCCATCACCAGCCAAAGGTGCTTCCCCACAAGGTAACTGAAAGAAGGAAACAAGGGTGTGGCTGTGAACATGCATGGCTACATTGCTGTTTGCAGAAGACAACAGTTGATTCTTGTTTCTGGGTGCCTTTGTGACAAGGACAGAATAAAAGGAATAGACATTGCCTCTAAACTGTGCAGAGTTTGCAATCTGTGCAGTCTCAAGGAGAATGGCACATCTACAAAAAAGGAGATGTCTTAGATGGCCAGCAAGCAAAAAATGCAGTTTAGTAACAGCCCAGATAAAAAAGCTTTCACACGTGGTATCTCTGGTAATAAGCACCGAGTCTTCCTGGCATGCACAGCAATGGAAAAAGGGCAGCAATGCAAGGGAAATCCTCTCTCTAGGGTGGTTTATCAGCACTTCAAAGGTGCTCCTAAAAACTTGAAAAAGTTAAGCCCCAATCCAATGTGGAGGAAATGAATTTACATTGTGTTTTTTTCAGAAGATAAGGCTGGTCCAGATTTTTGGACAATTTTCAACTGCATATGCCAGGGTAGAATAAAGCAGACAAAATGAAAAAATCTCTTCCATCCACTGGAGATAAGGTGAGAAATCATAATTAACCAAGAATTAACAGCTCTATTTTCTGCCAGTAACCAAACTGCGTTTTTAACTTCACATGCATGAAGTACGTAAATAAATATTGGTGGGATAAAACAAGAACCACTCACCTCTCTAAATAGGTCACAATGTTGGGGTTCCTATTCATTTTCATGACCATGAGTTCATAAGCAATTGCTTCCTTCCTGATCCGTTCTTGAAGATTGATTTTCTTTATGGCCACCTAAAATGATATTGAAAATGAGTAAGTTTGGAAGTTGGCATGGAGCTTCTCACATGGAGTGAGTGATTCTGGAATGGCACAGCCAAGCTGTGCCAAAGCACCTTGTGATTAGACATTGCAGTAATTAGGAAGTGACAATCCAACAGCCCATTGCTCTGCTCCCTTGGGGGCAGTTACATGACACCTGACCACTGACACTTTGCCTTGTCCACTTGGTAACAAAGGTGTATCAACTCTCACCCACAAAGCTCTGACCACACTCTCTGCTGCTCTGCCTGGACTTCCAAAGAAGTAATCTGTGCCTTGGTACTCTGTGGATACAGGCAGGCCTTTGGGCTTTTAGGGACACCTTGCAGATCTCTCCCTACGTACAGTTCCCAAGTGGCTAATGAGCTACCAGTAACATTCAGATGTATTTGCTGGCAGCCAGAAATGAGGATTCAGGACTCTGAAGCTGTAGCCCCAAAGAGCAGTGAGATGCTCTAAGTGAGATGCTAAACCTTGGTTTTAGCAAATGAGAGCAACTGGGCACTTCCTTCTCTGCAAGGAACCGCTACTCTGCAAGGAGCCCTACTGGCAGCTGAGAAGGACAAGGACTGTCCCAAGTGCAATTTGCAGGCTGGCACCAGTCTGTGCTTCTTGTGCCTTTGCTGCACAGCTCTACCCAAAGCTCCAGGCACAGATCTCACCCGTAGAGAAAGGCCTTGAGAACAGCAGAGTCTGCAGGGGCTGTTGACATTTACCTCTCGTTCTGTGGAAATGTCAAGTGCTCTAGAAACCTCTCCAAAAGCCCTAGAAACAAAACAGCAGCAAAGAAAGGGGAAGATGTTTAGATCTTGGAGTGAAAGCCAGTCCATACAGGAGATCTCTGCTGTAAATACTTAAAAGCTGCATGACAATTGGCAGCATGGAGATGTCTATGACAATGCCTTCTGAGCACACTTACAAATTCTGATCATCACTGACAATCTAACCTCAGTGTCTGAATATGTTTGAACATAAGTGTCTAAGTAGTTTGAAGTGAAGTCTCTAACTCCACACTTGCTGGTTATTCCCACCAGCAAAACACCTGGCCCATGGTTTTGGAGAAGTAACTGAGGTTGGACTCACCCACTGCCAAGATTTTCCAGTTCAATGTATTCCATCATGGGATTTTCCATGTTCACCATTTTCCCTGAGAGAAACAAAATACAAGATGCTCACTTTCAAGCAGAAATCCCACCTTCCAAGAGATACAAAAGGCAGCCCCACTGTCTGGTGTTTTGGACACTTTGTGGTCAGCTGGGCAGCAACAACAAGAACAGGAGCAACAACAAGAAGAGAGGCAGCTGCACAGCACAAATGCCCGGCACAAAAACTCATTTTGAACAATCCTTTGAAAAGACTTCTTGAAAGGAAACTAAGCACAGGGAGACTACATTCAGAGGAAACGGAGACCAGAAGAGAACAGGTAGCAAGGCAAGTATGTTTGTCATCTATAAACATTAAAGAGAGCTGGACCTAACCGAGCCTTTCTTTTCTTGGGAATAAACACTTCAATGTTTCATTCAACAAAAGGTTTCATACTTCCTAAGATTAAATGCATCTTGACACCTAGAATCAATTCCTACAAAGAGATGCCAATTTGGTAAGAGGAAGAGCATTGCCAAATGTTCCCATGAACTCCACCTTTCTGCAATTTGCCAAAAGAATGAATGGCTTTCCATCTGTAAAGCAGAGCAGCTCATGCTGTAAGCCATTCCAAGGGGGCTTTCAGCATCAGCACCCTCACCCTGTATGAGCAGGCTGAGCTCCAAGACGCCCTTGCCCGTGGCCCATGGGAAGAAGCCCAGTGCTTCCCTTCCCCCTGACAGCGCGGATCAGTGGCTGCCATTGGACTCGGCCTCTCAGCACCGCACACGTCCCCCCCACCTTCCCAACTGGGCACAGCGGGCAAGGGCAGCGAGGACAGCAGTGCTGCTCAGGCGCCGCTGTGACACGCACAGCTGCCCAGAGGAGATGCTGTCCCTCTCGGGAGTCCAGGCCGTGCCGTGCAGAAGCCGGCCCAGACGAGGGGCTGCTGCCTCGGGCCAGCTCGGCTCTGCAGCGGCCGGCCGGGCGGCAGCGCCACTCTCCCAGCTAAGGAAGGCTCCAGCCCCTGCAGTCACAGCAGCCCTCAGGGCCAGGGCACACAGCAAGGCTGCCAAAGGCCAAGCATGAGCACTGACAAGCCATGGCAAGAAGCCACAGCCAGCCTGAGCCCCTGACAAGCTGCTGTCCCCATTCAGGACACAACGGGATTGGCTTTGGGATCAGACACACCGAGGTGTGGATCAATGCCCTTTTTTGTCTCAACACATGAATGTACACACAGAATGAAATGAGATGTTTTTTCAGCCCCACCAGGTCTTTATGGGAGGGCACAACACTGGCAGCTCTTATGGGCAAGAAGCAGATTAAATGGGTTGTGCTGCAGAATCACAAAGGGCTTGATGTGTTTTCCTAGAGATCGATCTGAGCAGGGGTTGGGCCAATGGGTAGAACTCAAGCAACTGGTCCAGCAACAATTCCTGCTTCTTTCTTCAGTAGAAAGGGAAGCCCAGGTAAACTTTAACCAGTCCAGGCTGCCCTCAGGGACAGCAGGAACATGCAGAGTGCTCTCTCCCTGCCTCGAAGCAGAGCACTTCCTGTGGAGAGACCTAAAGCTCCCTGTGACACCAAACTGAGGAGGAACATTTGGTACAGCTATGCTGGCACATGCACACAATTCACTGTCCCTCAGACAGGAAATAAACTAGATGTACTCAGTAGCTCCGGGAAATCCTCCTGTGGCTGAGCAGCACCTGTGTCACTGCTGGAGATGAAGAAATTGCACAGGCTCCACTTCTCAGGAAAGGGAACCAAGGCTCCTTGGTAGCTCTGAGAGTAGAAATGAGTTGGTGTCAGAAAAGAGACTGGCAGAGATTACCCCAAGTACCCTTTTCAAATGCAAGCCCTTAGGAAGTTGATTTTAGCCACATGCCAAGCTCATAAACTGGACTTTTTTGGATACCCGCTTCTGAAACCAAATGGTCAAAACCAGAAGTTGGTTTTAATCAAGTTCATAGCCACCTTCATATTCCATTTTCATGGATTTTCTGAAGGATGACTGCAACAATGACCATTCCATTTCCTCCCAAGGATTCCTTTCCCCCTCCAAAGACTGCATAAACATTTGTAGATCCTTGTCCAAATGTTGTACCTCTTCCCACTGAGTCTACTTTTCCTCCACCATCTTCGAGACACGCTCAACCTTCAGCATCTCTGCTTGGGACAGTTGCTGTGCCTCACGCCGACCTTGGGGCTCTTCATCACCAGTCATTTGCTGGAAGCCTTTGCAGGCTGCCAGGTGAGATGTCAACATTTCCACCTCAAGTCAAACAGAACAAAGCAGTCAGAGACTACAGCTTGTCCCTCTCTGCCAAGGCTCATTGACTGTGAGGAAAGGGAACGAGCAGGAGAGGAGCAGATTCACCAAGGCATACAGACAGCTTGTGGCTTTTGTTTAACATCTATCTGGGTGACTATGTTCACTTGCAAAAACACTTGAAGAAACAAGGAGAGCAGGAAGAGGCCAGCAGGAATGCATTCAGATGAGTGCTGGCAAAAGGGGAAAAGGACTTGTGCCACTGTCCAGAGCAGCAGTTGGGATTCCGCTCACCAGGAAGTTTCCTTCAAAGCAGCTGGGATAGACACTACAGCAGGATGGCACTGAGGGGCATCACCCCAGCTCCCTGCTGCTCTGCAGAGGAAAGGCAAGAAGGGCACAAACCACCAGGCTACAGTGACTGCAGTGGCTATCGCTGTTTTACTCCCTTGTTTTTGTAGAGAATCCTTCTTCTGAATCAGGTGATTAATTTCCTCTTCCAGCATTTTCATTTCTTCTTCCAGCCTCTTCTCCCTTTCCTCGATCCTAGCCTTAGTTTCCTGCATCTCTGCCTGGAGATTTTCCTTGCTGTCCTCTAAAAAACATGAGAGAGACAGCTTGATGAGTGGAATGGCTGACACTCTTTCACTCACCTGATTTTCTTCATCTCCTTTCTGCTGATGGAGTGTCATATCCTCTTGGATGCTCCTCATGTCTTCCTGGTGCCTCCTCTTCACTGCCACGATGGCACTCTGAGCTTCAGGCAGCTCTGCTTGTGGCTCTGCCTTGATGTTCTGTACACACAAATGGAGAACAAGTGACTGGGAGCTTCCATCAGGCTCAGCTTTTCCCTCTTTCAGCCTCAAAATCACTCTCCTTCAGTCACTTCTTTCTGCCTATTTAACCACCTCTGCTTCCATTGTAACCTTCCTGTCCCAGTGATGATCTCTGCAGATTACAAGGCTCTGTGCTTTCAGTGCCTCTGGGACTCCTGGCCTCCTCAGTCCCAAGAGCTGTGTTTTATGCCCCTCTTCCTGCCCTGCACTCTGTCACCTGCTGAGTCAGGCTTTCCTGGCCATTCTCCAGTGGCTCTTCCACCTGCTGCCCAAGCTGCTCTTCCTGCTCTCGGGCTGGCAACAGCTCTCCCTCAGTCTGGCACGGCA